AAACTTGTTTAAGTGAATTTTAAGTGCTAAAATGCATCAAAATGCAAGATTTTGGGTGCCGGACCCCCCTTACTTGGCTTCGATTATTTTCAGGATTTTTAGGAAAGGGACACTTTCATCTCTGCTAAATACAAATTATATTAAATGTGCTTTAAAAATCCACACCAGTTCAACAGTGTGACTTGAAATTCAATCAGTCTGGCTTCAGAATTCTATCAGAAACTTAGAGATAAGATACAGATTTTTATAATGTCCTGCTTGTTTTTTTATCTATTAAAAATATTTAGTGCTGGGCTTTTGGAACAAAGGAATGACATTATTTCTGACCTTATTCTTTTCAAGAGTACTGCGGGATGTAAACGGTGGAAGGCAAAGACATTTAAGAAGAATAAGATCTCATCCTGTAAGTTTGCATCCATAGCTTTTTTCAATAAATCATCTAAGCCTTTTTTTTTTAGCTTACAAATATTTTTCATTATAAGAAATAATTCAATTTATTGTTGTTGTTGTTTTTCTAATTGTTTTAGACTATTAAACTTCTACAAGACACCTTTTTTAAATACTCAAGTATTAAGGGTCTACAAAAAGATTGAATATATTCTCATAAAATTTTATATCTTTGAATGTTGTGTAATAAGTGATTCAAGTAGATTTTTACCTGGATGTAAAAATGTAAAGTAAGATTTGCCATAGGTGTTGATTCAGTAATTTACCTTGTAGGTACATTTTATAGCAAAGTATTTATCAACAAAAGGAATGTGTTATTGTTAATATTTTGTACACTAAAAAAACTTATATTTCAGCTTCAAAGACTGCCATTTGCCAAAGAAAACATTCCAAGTCATGAGTCAAGATCAGAAAATCTTCCCATTTCTAGTCCTAGCAAATCTGGGCTGTGCAAGTTCCTAGCAGTTGGAGATGCTGCCAGTGATACCGACTCCCAAGACAGTGGTTATTGTGATTCTCAGGGTGTTAAAGTAAGTACTGGTTCCTATAAACTCCTTTAAACAGGCACTTTAATATTCACTTGTGGGTAGGTTCATAGTTAAAGTAAGTACTGGTTCCTATAAACTTGTTTCAACAGGCACTTGTGGGTAGATTCATAGTTAAAGTAAGTACTGGTTCCTATAAACTCCTTTAAACAGGCACTTTAACATTCACTTGTGGGTAGCTTCATAGTTAATGTAAGTACTGGTTCCAATAAACTGCCAGTGATACCGACTCCCAAGACAGTGGTTATTGTGATTCTCAGGGTGTTAAAGTAAGTACTGGTTCCTATAAACTCCTTTCAACAGGCACTTGTGGGTAGATTCATAGTTAAAGTAAGTACTGGTTCCTATAAACTCCTTTAAACAGGCACTTTAATATTCACTTGTGGGTAGATTCATAATAAATTGACTAGAGGCACTTTTAACAACTGTAATTTTGAGTTAAACATTACTAATTTTTCGTATCCACTAATTCCTCTCTTTCTGTGACCATTGACTTTTAGACTCCACATGTTTATACTTTCAAGATAAATTATAATAAATGTGTACATATTGTTTCATGTTTTTTCTCATTATTGTGAAGATAACAAAATAAACAATGGACACTGTACATTTTGGATATGACATGGACAACATTATGAGTAATGTAGAAGATAAAAAAAAATTTTTAATACATTCTTTTTTCTCCAAAAAAGTGTTATGTGATGAATAAAACAATAAAAAAAATTTACGTAAGTGTTCTTAGTTCTTTCGTTTATCTTTTTTTTTTTCAAGTGTGAATTACTCACGTGATTTAACCCGTTTATTAATGAAGAACCAATTAGTTCTTTAATCTTGTCTTTTTTGTCTCATTAGGATTAGAAACGTAAATGTGCATTCACTCATTGGACGAAACAGGCACAACATCAATCACCTACCAAGTATAACTTGGTAATCTTTTCTTTGTAATAGAAAAGTTACTATCTTGGGTCTTACTGGTTACTTAACCTTCTAATAAACAAAATTTCAGGAGCTTAGGAGATTTTTTTTATGTAACGTGGCACAACATCAATCACCTACCAAGTATAACTTGGTAATCTTTTCTTTGTAATAGAAAAGTTACTATCTTGGGTCTTACTGGTTACTTAACCTTCTAATAAACAAAATTTCAGGAGCTTAGGAGATTTTTTTTTTTTATGTAACGTGGGGACATTCACTTTTCTCCAGATAAAATCAGTATAAGTTATTTTCTGGACATTTACTACTTGAAATATGTTTTTTAATTTGTGTTTAATGTAGAGATTAAACTGTTTTCTAATTTTGTTAGCATTGGATGAAAAGTAATAATTTCATTAACTTTTACCTTTCAAGATTCGTAGTTAACTTCTGACCTAGTTTTAAGTTGAGTTGTTAAAATAATTATTATGTATGTTACATCCCGAAGAAACATTTTTCACAAAATATAGCTGAAATGATAAATGAAAAATTGATTTATTTGTTAGTTAACAGTTCATGAGTTTCTTGAAAAATATATCCAATGTCTGATGATATGATCTTTTAGAGATGGGCTTCTTAGTTATTTTCTTAAAATTCAGTTTTTGTGAAATCGAATTAAAAGAACTTACGAGTGAAACTTGAGATGAATGTAATATGTCAGCCACATTACATCTATATTCAGTTGTAGCGAAGCCTTACACCCAATACCAGGTGTCATCAGATGATCTGCATTTTGGATATGACAGATATAGTAGTGATGGAAATGTTATTAATAACTTGAACAACTGTTTTTGGTGTGAAATAGATTAAGTTGGTGAACTGTAATTACTATCAATTGTATGTTCACATAAGTCTTTACATGTCAGAATTAAGTTTGATTTTTATTAACCCCAGCGATTAGTGCGGAACACTGATGAAATTCATTTAAATATATATATACATAGATTGAATGGAGCCCTTCCAGATCTACAATCTCTCAGAGTTCATCAGTTTATTATACAAGGGAGTCGGTTAACACGGATGAAGATGATGGCCTCATGAATCTTTTAGAAATAGACAAGTTTGTAAGCATATCAGTTTTTATTTTATTGTTACCATTATAAATTCATTAACGTTTTCTTGAACAGTATTATTATTTTATGCTTAATCTTTTATAGCTATGTAACGTTTGAATTGTTTTGCTGACTTACTAAAAAACCACAGTTAATTTTCACTGCAAAGAAAATCTAAAAAGACAGAATAAAGAATTGTGGAACTATTTTAAAATTCTTCTAAAATTTTAGTTTTAGGTGTATAGTTTTAGCTGTTACTATGGGCTTGGCCTGGTGGTTAGTGGTTGATTAACTCTCAATCTGCAGGTTGCAGGATCGAAACATTGTGCTAAACATGCTCACCATTTTAACTGTGGGAGGCATTATAATGTGACTATCAGTCCCACCATTCCTTGATAAAAGAGCACCAAGAATTGGCAGTGGGTGCTGCCATCTGTTTGCCTTTCTTGTGGTCAGTAGTTTCTAATTAGGGACAACGGCAGTTAGCTTTAGTAGCTCTACCAGAAAACAAAAAAAATCAACAAAGCTGTTACTAGGTGTAAGCCTTGATTGAAAATGACATGCGCAGTAGATAAACAGACATTTCAAATGTGCAAACTTAGTTGATTATCAAATAATACAAGATTTCATGCTGGGCACAGAGCTAAACAAGCCACAAGTACAAGTCAACATAAGTTGTACACGGTCATAATATTTCTAAGTTTTTCCCCTACCATGATTTGTTTGTATGTCTGTCTTTTTTTAGTTGTTTGATGAGAAATCAATAATATTGCAAGTAGTGATCCTGTCACGGTATTGTGTCTTGATAAATAAAGATACACGCTTCTAAGAGCCACAAGGGCAGAACTGATGCATCACCTCGTATTTGCAAGCATGTAACTTCGTGTCAATGTCTTACAGGGAGCAAGTTTTGATCACACATTATCCATATTTAATTAACAAAAAGGTATTTATGACATGATAGAATCCATATTCATGATTCTTCGTTTTGTTACGTACAGAATGAAGAAACACTTTTACCCAGCAGTATGACTGGACTGCTAACAGCTCCACTAGGGTGTGATGTACTCCAAAAGGATGCGTCCTGCCAACCTTTAACCTGCCAGAACAATGATAATGAGAGAAAACTGAAACCAGCTATAAGGAGGTGTTTGTCTATGACCACCGAAGGAAAGAGCGAGATGGTATGTAGGCTTAACTCTTTATTGTGCAATTAAAAAAAAAACTTGTATTTTTTTTCTCAGCATTGCTATCATTATAATATTTTAGATATTGCAATATCAGTGTTGTCTTAAGTTTATCAGATTCAACCAGTCTTTCTAGAAGTTTTATTACTATTTTTCTCTTGTCTTCCTAGTGACATTAAATTGCCAGTGTCATCTTTAAAAAAAAACAAAACCAAAAGCCATTTTATCTGGAATATTGTTCCTTTCTAGATCTATAAGTAGAAAAATGCTAAATTAAAAAAAAATATTTGGATAGTTTTATTTCTTTTTAAAATAGTACAGGTGCAATTTCACCTTGTGTTGACTGTGGAAATAATTGCTTATTTTTAGACTTGTAAACTTTTATGTGTACTTAGGTGAAAAATGTAGCTGTAGTTTGTGTAAGGTGTTGAAACAGGGTTTTCATGGTTAGGGGAATTTGTTTTACAAAATGGTTGGTTTTTTGACAGTCTTTGGATATAAGATGTTATAATTATGATATTTAAATTATCACTAGTATGTCTAAAGATTACAACTTAGTTAGATCAGTTAAATAAATGAGAGGAAACGACCCTGATAGGGGGCTGCTAAAAACATTTTATGATTTGGGTCAGAAAAAAATAAGGTGAAGGTATTTTATTTTGCCTCATGGCTGAGAGCCAGTTAAAAGGGGTGGGGAAGGTATATATATTACAAATTAAATTAAACATTATTTGTATTCCGTTGGGTCAACAGCAAGTTTACAGAGTTACAACACTCAAATCTGGGATTTGATTTCCCATGGTGGACATAACATCCCATTATGTGGCTTTGCCGTGAAACAAACGTTAATCATTGTTCAGCTAATAATGTAGCATACGATTAACAAGTAATTAGTAAACAAATTTATGTATTAAAACGGCTAAAAAATAAATATGTTCATAATATTGTGTTGGTTTGTGAATTATTTATTTTAAAAGACTAATTCAAGAACCTTTTGGTATTGTAAAAATGCATCTAATAGAAATAGATATATTTCAAATTATAGCTTGAGAAATACAATGGTTTTACTGATCTTAAGAGTTAATATATAAATAATAAGTTTACTAATAATTAAATTAAGCAAAAAAATTTTTTTATATAGTCTAATCATTCAACATCTGGAAGTATGAACTCGACAGAGTGTACCTCAAGTCTATCCATATCAGAAACTACTGAGCCAGCAGTTGAGGAGGATTATAATACAGTTTCTTCGAACAACATTGATCCTGATACAAATAATAATAATAGATATAAAGAAAATACTGCTCCTTATGACAGTTGCCTACCTACATCCAATCAAGGTTTTTTTTTAAAGGATCTAAAGTCGGCATTTAAGAGACCAGAACCACCTAAACATGTTTCGAGTCCAATTCAAAATAAAAGAAGGAAAAGTATAGTGTTTCATACAAGACCCAGAAGTGAATCTGAGGTATGAGCAAGTCTTCATCTTTTGTTCTTGTTGTTGTACGCTTTTAAATCTGAAATGTAATGACACTTTTGCTCCACATCTTTCTTCTGCTTTTACCATAAAGGAGCTGAAAGAAAGCAGTAGTATATTAAAACGAATCAAACTTGATTCAGAGGTTAATCATGTTTGATAATTTTCACAGGATGTTTAGTGTTTTGGAACTGGAAATATGTGTATTAATAAACATATAACCTAGATTAGATCACTGGTAACTTTAAAACCATGCCAGAAAAAAGTCCTTGCTTGAAGTGGAGTCCGAGACATTTTGACAATGCCTAAAATCCCTAACTATTTACTAGCCGTGAATAATATTCCCGTATTTAACTGCCCAAAGAATCTATAAAGCAAGATACGTAAAATTTGTATTCAACTTTCCAAGAACTTGGCTTTAGAGATCTAATAAAATTTAAAGAAAAGGTGATAACAAAAAATAGTTAAAATTCTGGAAACAAATCTTAAGAGATAAATTTTAACACTTTCTAGTGTTTACTTTGTTTGGTTAATTCTGTTGAAAAATAAAATTTTACTTCTTACTGAAAAATTGAATGTCTTTAAAACATTACAAGTATATTTTTTTTAACATTTGGTTGTTTGTAGTGCTTGATTTAATTTTTATTTTAGGTATTGCAATCCAAGAAAACAACTTTACAACGTTCTCATTCAGAAACTGAAGCAAGTATTATGAAGGCTTTACAAAGATGTAAGAAAATTTTTATCTTGTTTAGTAGTAAAATTTCTTTTATAGAATGGAATATCACTACTCTATAATGGGCTGTACATAATTCATAAAATCTTAGATGGCCAGGTGGCTCAGGAGCTCGACTTGCAATCTGAGGGTTACGGATTCGAATCCCCGTCCCATGAAACATGCTCACCATTTCAACCGTGGGGGTGTTATAATGTGATGGTCAATCCAACTATTCGTTGGTAAAAGAGTAGCCCAAGAGTTGGCGGTGGGTAGTGATGACTAGCTACCTTCCCTCTAGTCTTTCACTGCTAAATTGGGGATGGCCAGTGCAGATCACCCTCATGTAGCTTTGCACAAAATTCAAAACAAACAAACAAAAAATCTTGGGACTTGCTGCTTATAGGTTTTAGCTTGGCCAAAGCACCTACCTGGTGAGTATGGATACAGTTTCAAATCCAGCTTAAGCCTTACTAGTTCCTTTCTAATAAAAAAACAATCTAATGTAGACTAATCTAGGATGTGATACCTGCTAAAGAAGCAGTAACTTGGGGTTCCAATTTCATTTGGTCTCAATTTTGTCTACTTGTAACAGTAACTTAATGTATTTTTAAAACAAGTTTGATTGTAGGTGATATATTTGAAGAAATGGCTATGTTTGATGAAGAATGTCTTGTTTATTAATGTTAAATTATTCAGACAATTTTAAAATTAGTACAAAGAGGAAGGGTGTGATTTTGTAAAGATCTTGCTGGGTGTTGAAAGCTAAGTTGTCACTATCATTTCTTTCATTTGTCTCCTCGTATCGCTTTTTTTTTTATTCAGTTAGTAGTTTTATTTCAATGTTTAAACCCAAACATAGTGTTCCATGCCCATTTTTATATTTGAAACATTGTACAAATCGTGCATAGTGTTTGTAAGTACTAGTTTGTTCTTGAATGTAATGTGGCATTCCTCATGTTTTTAATTGGTTTAGCTGTTCAAGAGCCAGACCTGATTGGAGATTTTTCAAAGGTAAGAAGTGGTCAGCATGTAAATAAGCTATTCGTGTGTGTAAATGTAGTTCACTTTTTATTTATTAAGGCTTAGAGAAAGCATACTTTTAAAACTCTTTAGTTTATTAGCAATTGCAAAATGTAAGGCTACACAGAAATCACTATCACTGGCTTGAAGTGTTAAATAGATTTAAAAACAAATTTCTCAGTAATTTTAATTTATCTTGCTATTTTTATATGTACAATATTAGAATTAATTATTGAAACAGTGAGGGAAAAGGGTATATAAGGCAAATACTACAGGAATGTACCATCCCTTTGTTTTGTGAAAATGAGCTCCACCAGATCAGTCACTTGTGAATAGTTTACACTGACTGTTTCATCCAACCACTAAAAGTGTCACACCAGTAGCCTATGAAAGTACAGTTATACTATGCCTAGTAGTAGCAGTGTAGTTAAAGTAGAAATCAAAATTCTAACTGAAAGTAACATTAAGTATTTCGGGGCATGTTCTATATGAGAAGGATGATGGTCAGTATGAGGTGATACCTCAAACATTAAAATACACTTTAGCCCGAAGTGGTCTCATTGAATGTGTAGCTGCTTAAACACTTCTGCTGAGAAGAAGTAACGAAGAAGAATCCATGTTTGAATTGTTTAGCAACAGTAAATGATAGTTTGTTTTTCAATGGTAGAAAGGAGAATGTTATCATTGTTAATACAACATGGTGGATGATCAGTACAAGTTTGGGACTGTATCTCGGCCATTGGTTTCAGTGATTTGCACCGTATTGATGGCCATGTACAGGCATATTCAGGTCAATCAAGCTATTTCCTCAAAAGTCATTGGGTAGGGTTTCTTCTTCCAGCAAGACAGTGATCCCAAAAATACAGAAAATATTGTAAAATGATGTGTTGATGGTAATGAGGCCCTTGGAATACATAAAACCCATGGCTTGTCCTAAAGTTCAAAAGGTGACCAAACTACTTGGCTGAACTGTGAAGAAGTTTCGAGCAATATTCCACAACCCTATATCAATATTAAACTGGCAGCAGCATGAAAATAAAGTGTGAAGCAAAGGGGTGGCATACAATATATTCGTGCAGTGTATAATGTATTTGCTCTTCTGTGATTATATTTTCTTGTTAATAAATTCATCTAGTAGTGATTGCTTGTTGTTTCTTGTATGTATGTATGTATGTATGTGTGTGTGTGTGTGTGTGTGTGTGTGTGTGTGTTGCTTGTGTATTTTGTGTTTATTTTCATTACTGTATACAAGTAAAAACAGGCTAGAGTTAGAAAGTATTAATATATGCCATTGTACATTCGTAGAAGAATTAAATAAATTCTTATAAATTTCTTTAGAAACATGATTCATTTTAAATAGTTAAGCCAACCAACAGACTGAATTGTCATTCCTCCTGGAAACTTTTTTTTTTTTTCAGAGTTTAAAAATTACTACTTGGCAAGAAAATATTATAATTAGACTACATGTTAATAAAGACTATCCAATTTTTTTATACAATTATTTTTTGCCCCAAGAATTTAGAAAAACAACTTTGTTTCAGAGTTTGTGTATTAGCAATATAATTTTACTTTTATTCCTCTAGCCGTATATACTACCTCTGATCCATGGGAAGAATGAAGACCTGAGAAGCATAACCCCTGAAACGGTCAGTTTCTTGGTTTTTGAACTGAATAAGAGCAGTGAATAAAACAAAACTTTGGAGTTTTAAGTATTTACTTATCATATTTATATACTTAAATGAGAGAACTTTTTTAGTCATACACCTTTTTTAAAATAAATCTAAGGAGTGAAATAACAATTATTTATTCTTTTAAAATTGTCATCTTCATTTGAGACTGATTCTGGTTGATTCTGTTTACTACCAGGACAACCGTTGTATTTAGATAGCTTATGGTGGTGATATCAGTATAATGAATCAACAACGTTAGTTGTGAAGATGTACGTTGTATTTAGATAGCTTATGGTGGTGATATCAGTATAATGAATCAACAACGTTAGTTGTGAAGATGTACGTTGTATTTAGATAGCTTATGGTGGTGATATCAGTATAATGAATCAACAACGTTAGTTGTGAAGATGTACGTTGTATTTAGATAGCTTATGGTGGTGATATCAGTATAATGAATCAACAACGTTAATTGTGAAGATATAGAATATTTTCTCTGAAACAACAGTATCCCAAAATTTAATACGTGTGGTTTATTGAAAGATATTGGAAAATTGTTGTTGAATAGAAATTAGGTAAATATTTTAGTTAACGCATGCATTTTGTTACATCTCTAAACTGGTTTTTTAAGTGCAATTTTTATTGCATGTAAATTAAGTATAGAATAATTAAAACAAAGTGTTTTTTTTTCTGTCTAAATCAACTGTAGGTTGTAAGCCTTCTCAATGGAGAATACAATCACGCTATTGATAGTTACATTATAATAGACTGTCGATATCCTTATGAATATAACGGAGGACACATTCAGGTAAGTTATCAGAGATATTTTGTAAAAAAAGAAATAGTGTAAGTAGTTTGGAAATCATAGAAACAGTATTTCATAAGTGGTTATAAATTATCTAAATGTTTGATAAGCATAAAAAAACCACCGTCATTTTAAAATTACTGCCGTGTGTCGCAAGCAAGAATGGGTTTAAGAAACGGATAATCCAAGATGTTTATTTTTTAAGTACTGTTGAGCAGTGATGGTTTTGTTTTCTCTATTTCCCTTTCTATTATAACCAACCAAAACAAATTAAGTTTTTAAGAAGAATGAAACTACACACGGTAGTACACATAACATTACTTTTGGATGCAAACAAACTGTTATTAAGCTAGAAATATTGACTCCACGTGCAGTTACTATGAATTGATGCTAACTATGTATTCTTTCATATGTTACCAAGTTTTCATTATTTATCAACTGAATGTGCACATTAAAAAAGGAACATTCAGTAGAGTTCGGGAATTACTGTGTGAATCTCTACACGAGATGTGGCAAGCTTTTCGTAAAATGTTCGTGTCCATTGTACACAAAAAAAATAAAAATAGGATGTTACAAAAGTATTTCTACTTGAGATGTTGTCCCCCAGTGGCACAGCGGTATGTCTGTGGACTTACAATGCTAGAAATCGGGTTTCGATACTCGTGGTGGGCAGAGCACAGATAGCCCATTGTGTAGTTTTGTGCTTAACTTCAAAAACAATAACTTGAGATGTCTGAATTGATGACACCACTCTGTCTCAGACTATCGACAAGTTGGAATGCAAGGTAATGTTCATATGATAGATATTTTTGTCCATTGGACAACTTGCTTATTATTTTTGCATAACGTATAGAACCTCCAAAATTCTTATATATATAGTTGTTTTTTTCTGTATCTCCGTATATTGTGTCTGGTATTTACTCTCTCCTACAATGAACTGTTGCTAAATAAGCTATGTAGTGTAAAATAAATAGTTCATAACTAACATCAAATAAATAATACCATCTTTAACAACTCTCTCAAAGGTTGTGGAATTTGCACTTTGACCCTCACCCCTGCACTTAGTATTAACTGTTCTTACTGAAGTAATTTCAAGAAGTGGTTATTTCTTTTAGAGTGCCAATAACATCTACACAAGAGAAGGGATCATGGAAAAGTTCTTGTCAGAAAAGAATAAACCAGGAAAGAACAGCACCGGCCGCAACATTGTTATCTTCCACTGTGAATTTTCTTCTGAAAGAGCCCCTATGTTGTAAGTGTACTTATAGGACTGTATGTGAATGTGTTGTAGGTGTATTTATAGGACTGTGGGTGAATACGTTGTAGGTGTATTTATGGGACTGTATGTGAATATGTTGTAGGTGTATTTATAGGACTGTATGTGAATATGTTGTAGGTGTATTTATAGGATGTGGGTGAATACGTTGTAAGTGTATTTATAGGACTGTGGGTGAATATGTTGTAGGTGTATTTATAGGACTGTGGGTGAATATGTTGTAGGTGTATTTATAGGACTGTATGTGAATACGTTGTAGGTGTATTTATGGGACTGTGGGTGAATACGTTGTAGGTGTATTTATGGGACTGTGGGTGAATACGTTGTAGGTGTATTTATGGGACTGTGGGTGAATACGTTGTAGGTGTATTTATGGGACTGTGGGTGAATACGTTGTAGGTGTACTTATGGGACCGTGGGTGAATACGCTGTAGGCGTACTTATGGGACCGTGGGTGAATACGCTGTAGGCGTACTTATGGGACCGTGGGTGAATACGCTGTAGGCGTACTTATGGGACCGTATGCGAATACGCTGTAGGCGTACTTATGGAACTGTGGGTTAAGCATTTTTAGAGATAAATATTTAAACTTGTAATACACATTTTTACCCTTTTTCAAAATCTACTGAAAAGTGTTAGCAAATTATCTCTTCAAACAATACAACAGAAACTGAAACAAGGACTTTGTATGAATAATTATGATCTAGCCAGGGGTGTCTAACTCTCAACTTGGTTAAGTAATCTGTACTATGGATTGGTACATATATTATATCCTGTATTGTTTTTGGTTGTCACAATGTAAAAAAAAAAACAAAGAAAAGCGAGTAAAATGGTTCATTTTCTGTATGGAACATATATGAAACTCCAGGAGTAAATAAAAGAAATTATCTGAAATGTTAAATGATTTTCTTTTGTGACTTGTTTAGGTATACTGTAAGAAACAGTAATGGACTCGCATACAATTTCATGTATGAATAGTTTAGAAAAATGTGCTTAAGAATCCAGTGGGGTCCATATTGATCTCACCAGTAGTTCCAGTGTTAAATGTGCTTAAGAATCCAGTGGGGTCCATATTGACCTCACCTGTAGTTCCAGAGTTAAATGTGCTCAAGAATCCAGTGAGGTCCATATTGATCTTACTGGTAGTTCCGGTGTTAAATGTGCTCAAGAATCTAGTGGGGTCCATATTGATCTCACCAGTAGTTCCGGTGTTAAATGTGCTTAAGAATCCAGTGGGGTCCATATTGACCTCACCGGTAGTTCCAGTGTTAATTCATGAACAATACTTATTTTGATTGTAGGTATCGGTTTTTAAGAAATATGGACAGGCAGATGAACAAGGAGAAATATCCTGATTTGCATCACCCTGAGGTTTATGTTTTAGATGGTGGCTATAAGGCTTTCTATGAAAAATACATGGTAGGTGGTATTCTTTATGAAATACAACGTTTCTTGTCTTTTCCATATTGGTACCTCACCGTAGTTCTCTTAACTTCTTGGAACACACAGTACGAAAATTTACACTGCAATTTGTCAGGTACACATCTTTCTCATAATACTTCTCAAAGTTCTAAAGATCATATTTAGTGCGTATGCTGAATTTGAATTTCGATATAACAATGCAACCACTAGAGGGCGCCAGCATACAAAACAAAAGCTACACTACAACAGGTCAGTATAAATTGTAGTTTGAAAAACAAAAGACCAAAATATCCCACATATGTCTGAATATAAATTTTGTTACTACATGGTTCTTTTTTTTTAAATACTTAATCATACATTAAAGTTGTACTGTTCCTGTGTTTAACTTAGGATCTACAGCTTAGCTAGTTTGTAACAAATTATTTAAACCTAAATAAACTAGTATTTGTTTGTATTGGTTGTTGGTGAAGACCCAACTTGTGGGAGGATGTACTTACATCTACTGCTAATGTTAGGTAAAAAAAAAAAAAAAAAACAGTAGTGAGACAGCACCCCTTTAGTTAGTGTTGGGTTTTATCTTATATCAATCTTATGATGCATTGCTTTATAAAGACCAATATCAGTCACAGCCATCCAATTTCAATTGAAATGTCATGAAGAAGGGTGCTTAGAAACCTTCAAGGGGTGGATATTGACATTGGTAATGTATTGAAGAAATGGATAATCTCTGAAAGTACTATTGGGGAGAATCAACCTAAAGGTAACGACTGCTGGATTTGTGCAAACTTTGAAAGGTTTTGTGACATAAGATTGCACATTTGGCATTTAAATCCATCATACAGAACTTTGACGATAGTTCATCACTGCCCATCTACCATATTGCAGGAAAGGTCATGCATTTGAAATGGCTTTCATTGGTCTTGTGCACGAAGATGGAAAGATTGTATGTAAAACATGAACCCTGCTATTTCTTATCTGTGTCGTATGAACAAACCCTAGTGCTTGTACTATCTAGAAAATATTTTAGTTAAAACTGTGTTGTCCAATGAGGTAGTTTCATTGACCTTGGCTCACTGGTAATAATTAAGATTCTTTGTAATGTTCAGAATAATGCTGCATGCCCTGCATTAATGGAAAGGTTTCAGAACACTAAATTCAGAATGTTCCGTTACTTGCCCATATCCCCAATCTCAATATAAATTAATACTGAGAGACATTTTAAAATGCTACTATAACCACGGCCACACCTTGAAACCTCTCGCTATGTTTGAAGCTACTTTACAAGGTGAGTGGTAGTTTGTTCTTCCAGGTATATATATATCAATTGGTTTGTCATGGGAGATCCGATGTACCCCAGTAACAAAGCAGGTTGTGGTGTTCCAAAACTTAGGGTAACGTAGCAGAGATAAGGATATACGGAAGCACATATACAGGATGATGAAAAAACCATCAACTCAACTAAAAAACAAACTTTATATGTTATACATATAGGTTTTAGTTTTGTTTTTAAGGTGGCACTCTGAATTTGTTCATCCAGTTGGTCTTCAATTTCATAACGTAAAGGATTAAGATGTGTAAATAAATACAAGTATGTAGTTTCATGTGGAAACAGAAAATGCAAGTCTTTATTCAGACTTAGGATTTCAACTTTTTAGAAAAAATCAATCAATCAATAATTCTCAATGGACAGTGTTATAGTAGGGACAAACAAAATCCTGTTTTTCTTGTGTTTTCAAATATTTACAAAGTGTTTAATCTTATTTTTTCATCCTCAAACGCCTTATTTCAGGAGTATTGTGAACCCAAAGATTACAAACCAATGCTGCACAAAGATCACGAACAAGACCTTCGCCACTTCCGTGCTAAGTCCAAATCCTGGAGTGGAGACTCTAAAGCAAAAGTAGCCGTTCGTCCAGGACTAAAGTTTTAACAATTGCCATCACCTAGTGTACATATTTTTTTTTTTGTCTATGAATGTGAGTGCAAGTAAGATCTTTTAAGTGGACAAACTGTTTGAGTATGGAACCATGCCAAATTGGAGTGCTTAATTACTGTACATAAGTGTTTTTAAACTATTTGATGTTTATGTAACTTTGTTGATGGGTTGTAGAAAATTGGACTTGATATTAACAATTCAAGTCACAGAATTTATCTCTGTACATCTACCAGTGAAAAGTTGCTCAGTAGCTATAATTCTTTTTTGTTTGTTTGTTTTGTTGTTGTTTTTCCAGTATTACAAGAAATTTTTCAGGGTTCAAAGTGTTATAGACTTCAGTTAGTTGGTCGTGTTATTTAAGTTCCAGTGTTTAGTGTTAACTAGTATTTTATTAGCAAGGTTTAAAACTCGTTCTAGAGTATTACAGACCAGTAATTAACAGTGGAAGATTTAATAACATCAATCTTTTACTGAACTATTGCACATATATA